GAACTTGAGAAAAATTTGCGTATAGCTTTTATTAATGGCTTTTGTTCTCTCCCCGAAAATAATATCGAAAATGCTCTCTACAAAAGACAAGTGATGCTCGATGCCACCAATTTTTGTTCTTGTTTCAACTTTTTTTTTCCGTTTTTGGGAGGGAGAGGGCTGGAGCTATTTATCTAGGGCCTTTTTATACAAAAAAGGAATTTAAAATATAACAGAGGTAACAGCGACATCAACAAAAACTATTAAAAACTTTACTCAAATCTGTCTTTTCCCAAGCATTTTATATGTTAACCTCCTTTATCTCAGCTGAAATCATGAGGAAATATCTGAGCGCGGAATTGAGACATCAGTAGTAAGACCAAAAAATGTATTTTTGTACGTTGACAAAACTGACTGATAAAAACCAGGCGACTTGACTTACATATAGAGAGAGGTGGTTTAAATGAGTCACTGCAATACGGATAAATTTAATTATTTCTGAATTTGCGAACCTTTGGCTCGATACGCTAAACGAGGGCCAAGTCTACCCCTGGGTACACCGATGGAGATTGATTTTACTAGTTCATATTTACACTACCCACTCCCCCAGTGCAGCAAAATTGGCTCTCCTATAATTTTCTCGATCAGTTACGAGCTTTTCCGCCTCCCTTCGGCCAAAATCCCTCAGGACTACCAATTACTCAGGACTTTTGTTTGGAAAAGTTGACCCGGAACAATGGGCCATTTCTTGATACGCATGACAAAAGAGACTCCGCTTGCTTGCTACACGTGCCGCTATTAAAACAGCATATAAACAATTCTACCTCACTTTGCCTGGTTATAAATACACCTCTCTTCAACCATTCATTGTTCTATTTTAAACCTGAGAGTTCATTAAATCACTTTTTTGACCAGTTTGACCATGGATTATTTGTGTTTGATTGAACTGGGTTCGCTCCTAAGCACAACAACGTTACGCGCTTACGGACCAGCACATGACAATGGGATCCGCTTGCGCTCTGCATGTGCTGCAGAGCCGCCTCCAATAGCAAAAGAAACGAACACATGAACATCGCAAAAATTTATTTGACTCCAGTTCAGAAGAGGGTAGGGGCAAGGAGTCGTTTAGCTATCCATTGAACGATTATTTTTAGTCCCTCCCTGAGATTCCTAATGTGCAAAAAGGAGCAGCATTGCCTTAAATTTCGGTTTGTTTTAGTGGGTGACTTTTTTTGTCAAAATTATTTCCAAGCTAAGAAAGAGGGAAAATTTTACTAACCTATTTCCCTACCCCAGCCACGTAAGTTTCATGGGCTTATTGGTTCGTCTAGAGCTGATAAGATATTGTTTGAAGGCGCCGGTTACATCTCAAAATGCAAGAATTGTCGCCATTTCTGATTCCCTACAGTTCTCAAGACTTTTAGAATGCAATCAATCTCGAGGGAAGTCGTTTTCTAGACTATTAAACTTCAAATTGCGTGCGTAATCACTCACCTAAACATCTTATTACAGGCATTAATTCTGCAAAACAAGGAGAAATTTTAACATCAACGCTGAGATTTGGGAAAAAACTGTTTTAGTTGTCGTTCTCATAAAATCTTTTCTTTTCTTAAGATGAATAGATCGTGGTGAAGTAGTCGTATCATTTCTCATTTCAACGTTTGGCCTTAAGGCATATCAAACAAAATGGCAATCTGATAACTATCTAGACATTGTCTCGAGCTGTAATTTACACTTCACTAAAATCGATTGCCATACGTCAATGAATACTGGATGTTGCACCTGCAAGACTCCCAAAGCGAACAAAGGAAAAATAGAATAAGATTTTAGTATGGCAGACGATAATACTTATCTACAGAAAAATGGCGAGATTTTATTCGGTTTTAGGCTCACAGGTACTTGGAAAGAACAATGACGGATGAAGGGAGGATGTTTATAATTCGAGCCTAACTAAATTTATAAAAACGACCTGTTTATTTGAGGATTTTCTCTACGGCATGTAGAAACTTTGCGGGTATCAGCCCTCCTTCGGTGGTAATGCCAAACTAAAGTTGGTATGAAGCCGTCATCAAAGAGTCTTCCGCCCAAACAAAGAAGTGAGGAAACACCCCGAGAGACGCAGATTTCAACGTTCAACAAGCATATTTACAGGTACAGCTACAATTTAGGAATGCCTAACTTAGGCACTCGCCGAAAAGGAAATGCTGCGATCTTCCCTGCAAACGAAGATGTTAGATTACAGAAAAACACCTTGGAAATATTGCCTCAGAGTAGCTGCGATAATCACCAAAAGACGAGTGCAACTCTTACTTTCATAGACGTTGCTCCTGCGTCAAAAATTGATATCGAACGGAAAAACCCTTTCAAAATTCGAGAAGTATGCTATGCAAATGAAATGGAGATTGCTCATAAACGAT